ATGCTGAGACGCATAGTGCACAGAGGTCACCAACTTTCTGCAGAGTCAAACTTCATGTGGCCTTCAGAACAGTGTGTAGAGAACTTCATGGAATGGGGTTCCATGGTCAAGCAGCTGCATCCAAGCCTTACATCACCAAGTGCAAAGCAAAGCGTCGGATGCAGTGGTGTAACGCACGCTGCCACTGGACTCTAGAGCAGTTGAGCCATGTTCTCTGGAGTGACGAATCACGCTTCTCTGTCTGGCAATCCCATGGACAAGTCTGGATTTGGCAGTTGCCAGGAGAACAGTACTTGTTTGGTGGAGGGGGGATTATGATGTGGGGTTGTTTTTCAGTAGTTCCAGTGAAAGGAACTCTTAATGCTTCAGTATACCAAGACATTTTGGACAATTTCATGCTCCCAACTTTGTGGGAACAGTTCGGGGATGGCCCGTTCCTGTTCCAACATGACTGTGCACCAGTGCACAAAGCAAGGTCCATAAAGACATGGATGGGTGAGTTTGGTGTGGAAGAACTTGACTGGCCTGCACAGAGTCCTGACTTCAACCCGATAGAACACCTTTTGGATGAATTAGAGCGGAGACTGCGATCCAGGGCTTTTCGTCCAACATCAGTGTCTGACCTCACAAATGCGCTTCTGGAAGAATGGTCAAAAATTCCCATTAACACACTCCTAAACGTTGTGGACAGTCTTCCCAGAAGAGCTGAAGCTGTTATAGCTACAAAGGGCGGGCCAACATCATATTAAACCCTATGGATGAAGAATTGGTTGTTGCTCAAGTTCATGTGCATGTGAAGGCAGGCGAGCGAATACTTTTGGCAATATAGTGTATTTGCTCCTTTAGAAGTAAACAGACTGGAATAAGGAATTGTCTTGTTTTTTAAGCCTTTGTCCCTAAATGGGGAATCCTACCAGATTCCCTAATTTTCAAAACTGAACTTGGGGCATTCAAAACAAAAACTTCCAGTCTATCCAAAACTTATTTACAAAAGTAAGCATTTCAAGTACATCTTGCTGGTGCCAATACTATACTGCAAACTCAAGTGAATATTAGACCTAATAATTCATTTTGTTTCATAAAGAAATCGTAACCCAAGAGATTAGATGTGACTGAAAGTGCTGAAAAACTACTAAGTGGACCTTGAGTTAAGCTTTTTCAACTACTGGTTCCAAGGTAACACTCAATCCATTTTGTGTTCACTCTTCGCTGCATGTATACTGATACAACAACCTGCACAACTCCGCTGAGCAAGAGCCACTCCTCCCTACCTCCATCTCCCACGGCCAGTCTTTTCACAACCAGAGCTGGGGAGGGCAGTTCACACTCTGTGGAGTTTGTTGTGTCCACAGACTGGAAGTTGAAGTTGTAGAAGAGAGTGGTGTGACTTGGGGTAAAGGTCTGAGACAGAGGAAGGCTCCTGCTTGGCCTCTCACTCTCAGGCTGGACTGACTGAGGTCCTTGTGTGAATGTAAATAAAGGAGAGTCCTTGGACCCACCTGCAGGTGTCGAACAATTCCTTTGCCATGTCTTAACTTGCCTTAAATCACTCCCATCAGCACCTCTTCTCTCTCCAAAAGTGCTAGTGATGGTGTATGTGACGTTAGCTGGTGTAGAGTAGTTGCATGTAGGGGTGGACAGGGTTGGCAGTGGGATAGAGGGAGAAAGGCTGCTCTGAGAAGCTGAAGAGCGTGGCATTGCCATCCCTTTGCCCTTCTTCTCATTCCCCCTCTCCCTCCCCATCTCCCCCTCATCTCTGTTGAGGGCCCCTCTCTTCAGGATGGCTTCCAAGTTGTTCCTGAGGCCACACTGAGGGCTGTCGTAACTACTTGAGGAAAACTTGGGAATCTGGAAAGGTGAATTGGGCTCTCTGTCACCACGCCACTGAATGCTCTGCAGTTTGCGGCAGATGCTATCCACAGGGTTGTGGCGGCGGTTTGCCTGGGGTGTGTAACATTCCATGCTACTGATAGCAGGGCTGCAGTGTTGGCTTCCTGGCTAGTGGTGAGGCTGAAGTCTAAGGAAAGAGAAGCATATGTGTGTGGTGTGTCTGTTCTTATAGTATTTTGTTGCTGCTCTCTACTGCTGCTGCTAAAGTTGGTAAAATAGAAAAGAAAAAAAAAATAAAACTCACAGCTATTTATAAAAAGACTGAGAAAGCCATGGGAATCCTGCTGGTAGATGATCAACACTGCATAGCATAAAACCATAATGAAATGGCATATTAGGTCTGTGGAGGACTGGTTTTGCTGATTAGATCTACTCTAAGATTAGAAAATAAGCAGCTACAGCTGCAGAGTGTAAATAAAATAAGCATACAGAGAACAATAGGAAGTATTTGAAACATGAGTAGCCAAAATATGGCAGCTATGGGAGAATACAAGCCACCTAATGACAAATGGTTAACATTAGCTGCAAGATTCAGTGGATTATAGAACTTCTTGTGATGAACAGGAGTAAGGACCAATGAAAAGAATAAGATGTTTAACGAACAAAAAGAGGGATGGGTGGGGTATCAAATGTATAACCCCCTGCTTAGTTAAACAAACAACTTAATGGACCGAAATTATGATAGAAAAGGCCATAAAAGCAAATGTACATGAAAACCAGTTAACAAAGGTTCAGATTTGAAATCCTGTCTTGTCAATGCGATAACCACTTGTGTTCAAATTAACATTACCTACTGAGGCTCCAGGTGTGCAAATGAGCTAATTATATCATGAGTTTGCTTAGAAATGACATTAAGTATCTAATTTACTCTTTTTCGGCTCCCTGCAGTTTAAATAATTTGAAACAGGTTATCATAATTACCCTACGTTCATTAGAGTTAATTTGAAGTATAACTAGTCTTTCTCAAGGAATCAGGAAAACAATTTTTTGAACATTTAGACGATAGAAATATCCGGCTACTACTGCAACACCTGGGGAACGTATAGGCTGCTTATATTCGTCAGCGACTTGAGCACACATTTTTATCCATAAAGACACATACACCTGACCATCAAGTCTAAAAAAACCCATTTGTTACTCTAACAAATAGTGTTTGTTCACTAGCTGAATCTAGATTTTCGTTACCTCGTAATGCTTCTATGTGCAAATATCCACGACGAAATGTTTAGCCCACTGTCCATACGCTCACCGAGAGCACACGCACAGGCAACTAGTGCATCGAGACAGAAAGAGTTAAAACCTCATTGGGTGTCCACGACTCTCAAAATGAGCCAGCAGCCCCACCCTGCGGCGCGAAGGCAGTACAGCGCCCACAGACTAGGGTACAACTTCTTATTTATGGTGCTTAAGTTTTCAAAGTCCAATACACTGAAACGAAAAAATTGTTTTGTGTTTGCCCCTGTTGTGGATGGATTACTAAATGGGAGTACTGTGCTCCGTCCCAGGGGTCCAAGGCAGAAGGAAGAGTGTTTGAAGGAGTGCAGCCGGTTTAATTTTATTTTTAGGTATATCTTACAGTACTGACTAAAGAATGCCTGAGGAAAATATTTTAGATTCGGGTTGTGCTTTACGGCTTTAAAAGTTTATATTAAAACAGCCAACTGTTTTTTCCCAGACACATAGACCTATTGAAAACCCCTATGTGGATAGTTTTATCATGCAATGTCACCTTTTAGCCTATATGTAAAGCCACAGCCTAAGGAGTTTGAAAGTCAGTGATACACAGTTTTCAATTTAAGAGCACCTACCCTTAGAAGCTGCTCCAGCTGCAGCATTTTGATGATTCCATGGTTTCTGGATACTTACAAATACACCCTATTGCTCCACATACATAGAAGACATTTCAGTGCTTCTTGTCCTCATGTTGCCAAGAGCAGCACTGAATGGCCTTGAGAACTGCAGTCATTCGGCTGTGTTCTTACACTGACAACAAATCCAACAGAAATTCCAGAACTTAAAAATGTCAATTTACTGTCAGTCTGAGTGAGTCTTGAAAAGATTAGCTCTCAGCTTCCCTTCAAACAGAATACTGTCCATGTTGTTGCCTTTTTAGGGGCAATAACACCTTGGCCACACTTGTACATGTATTCTTCTTTCTCCTGGTGATGGTCAATACAATCCACCTTCCCAGCTCATGCTAAGTAGTTGGACCTTTGCTTGTTTTCAGCCAATTTGAATAGATAACTATACGAACGGCAATCCATTAAGGGATGCAAAAGAAGTATCACTTAACTCAGTCTTGCAGAGCAGTAGGAAAGGATAGCACTCCCAACATTTCTCTTTACCGGCTGCTATTGTAGCACTATAGAGATAGTATCGAGACACACTGATTACAATCTCCTTCAATGCTAATGTGCTGCTATTCTATTTTGTATGTAACCCTGATCTTTGATCTCTAAATGAGGTACACGAGAAAGACAGGTCCAATAATAATATACATAAAGTAACAATCTGTTTGTTGCCTATAGAGAGCCAAAAATCAAATGTTGCATTCGATTCTTTAAACCTCGAGTCAGAGTCAAGTCTTGAGTCTCCAGTATTCGAGTACAAGTCAAGTCTGAATCACCAAAGAACTGTTTGAGTTGTGTCTGAGTCATCAAGAGCTAACTGTGTGCGACACAATAGCCAAACAAATGCACACACACTCACACTACTTAGAAGTGAACAGTGTGAACTTTTGTTTTGATATTCTGATCACTGGATGTGCTTCAAACACACTGCTTATCAGGAGTAGTTAAGAACAAACAGCTGGCAGCACTAGTGTTAAGCATACATGTTTTGCATTTCAAAAACATAATACAAAAAAATGACACTTATGTACTTGTTATAACACCGTCAGTGATATAAACAGCATATTCAAATAGCTGCAAAACATGTTCTAGCCACTGGAAAATAAATGCTGGTGGCATCATTTGCTGGTTTGTGGATATCAAATCCTGAGATTCCAAACCTTCTAACCATGTATTGCATCACCATATTGCTCAGTGAATTGATACAAAAAAAATCATTTATAGAAAGGGAAACTATACTGCAAACAGGTTTTAATAGCAATATTATATGCCAAATTATTATAGTCTGTTACAAAAGAAAAAGTCTGGGTCGTTGTCTCCAACTTCCTAGTCCAAAAGCAGTCAAGGCTGAAGTACAAGTTTAAGTCTTAGTCATCATTGCTCAAGTCTAAGTTGAGTCATAAGTCCTGAGGCGGACTCAAGTCCGAGTCCTGGACTTGAGTACAACAACACTGATTTCCCCCTTTTTACAGTCTTTGTGCTGAGCTAAGCTAAATAGCCACTGGCTGTTGCCTTGCACTGAACAGACAGATATGAGAAGTGGTGTTACGGCACACCGTATGTAGTGCGTGAGTGGACTCAGAAAGACTGCAGGACTCAGACTCAGGCTTGACAAGGTAAGTGTGTTTAATAAGTGTACAGAGGAGAAGTGACAGAGCTGGTCTCATTCGCTGGTCACGGGGCAGCTGGGAGCGCTGGGTGGACTGGACTGGACTGCTGGTGATGCAACCTGGGGTTGTAGTTGGGACGCAGCTTGCTAAAGGAGAGCAGAGGGAGAGAACATGAGAGAGCTGAACAGGTATGCTGAGGTTAGAGCTAGTTCTGGTGGAACACTGTGGACCTGATTAGCCGACTGTGCTGGCTCTCAGCAAGTGAGCACTGCAGGCAAAAAGAAGCAGTCCAGGGCAGCAGGAGAGGGCGCAGGAGACAGCCAGTCAGATGAGCAGGTCCATGGCAGAACAGGCAGTAGGATGCTGTGATGGCAACTGATGGTGGAGATCCAGAATCATAGTAAGAGCGGGTCTCCTCACACTGAGGAAAAAACAGGTTACAGCCACAGCACCGCTTGGTGCTGAGAGAAACAAAGCAAGGAAGGGCTGGAATCCAGACAAGCCAATGAATGACACATCCACAACTTTACAACATTCAGTTCCACAAACAAAAACATAAAGCCAAGTTTAACAACAGGTGCACAGTTTGTCAGTATAGGGTCTGGGCATGGATGCCAAGCAAAGTTATTGGTGGAATACAAGCAATCATCTGGCGACAAGGACACACCAAAGCTTTCCTTAAATACTGCTCTAATGATTAAAAGCAGGTGTGCCTCGCTGCCTGGAATGCACTCCCACCTGTGCGGGGGAATTGCTACTGGGATTACACATACCGGCTGACGAGATGCTGGTGGTGGCCAGGGCCATGGATGTAACAAGAGGGCTTATTTTTTTTTAAATTTTCATATAAAGGAAGTACATTTTTATTGTAAACTGTTACTAGTATAGGACCCAAACCATTACAGTGCCCCCCCACCCCAAGACGATGGCTTCCAGACATCCAAAAGGAAGAAGTCCAAGCAGGGTGGGAGGCAGAGGACCAGGAAGGTGGGCACAAACAGCACAGAAAACATTTCAAAATGTCCAAGAAGAGTCAAAAGTCCAGTAACATGCCCATTAAGGTCACTCAGGGGTAAACTCAGGAGAATAGGCAGGGAACTAAAGACATATCCAAAAGGGGGAAATTTCAGGCTCCAGCAGCAACTAAAAGTCACTCCGGAGGGCAAACTCGGGACCAGGAAGGAATATAGAGTGGCCACTTTGGTGGACGACCTCTGCGCCAGGCAGGAGACTGGCGAAGCCATTCAGGAAGGTGACAAAGCTGTGTAGGTGGACACCCTTGGGACCAGGCAGAAAGCTGACGAAGATGTTCAGGTGGATGTCCTTTTGACCCAAGCTGACCCGCTCGAGAACTGGAATGGGCATGGCATCGGATTCCAGGCTGACCCATTCAGAAACTGGAACAGCCACGACATGGGCATCCAGGCCGACCCACTCGGGAACTGGAACGGGCACGGCATCCTTGGCATAACTAAACCTGTCAATTAATGTTTCCAGAACCAGAGTCATTATTTGCATTTGCCTCATCTGGTCCGCTGAGTCCTTTCTTGGCCGGTCCATTCTGTTAAATTACGGCCTAGGATAGGACCCAAAATGCAGACCCGGAATAGAGTCTTAGGAAATAAACTGTTTAATAAAAATAGAAGAACAAATAACAAACAAAATGGTAAGCAAATGCTCAACCTGTCTAGCTAAACCAAACATCGACAACACACAAACTCAAATAGTACAATCAGGGAGCTAGGGAAAGGAACTCAAAGGCACACAACTAAAACAAACCTGAAACTTAAACCAAGGATACAAGATGCCAGAAAAGTCCAAAACTCCAACAGAAAAACAGTCCACAGGTTGTAAAGACAGGGAAATGCAACAGGTAACATCTTACAGGATTTCCAGGAGTAAACACAAACAGGTAGGGTATGGAAAGAGGATGGACCAGCATGTGACTAAGGGAAAGGAGGAGATTATATGGGCTGAAGGCCAGGGGATAATGAGCAACAGGTGGAAACAATGAGTGGTGATTATGCACTGGGGTAGACCTGGGGCAGGTCAGGTGATACAAAACTTACTTGTTTTCCAAACCAATATAAAAACACAAAACAGGAAACGAGTCCAAACTAGACCCCCTGCGGCTGGGGAAAACCACATCCAGCACCTGGACAGTCAGCACAAGTGCCCCACAGGGATGTGTATTCTCCCCTCTGCTGTTTTCACTCTACACCAATGACTGCATCTCGAAGGACCCCTCTATCAAGCTTCTTAAGTTTGCAGATGATACAACGGTCATCAGTTTCATCCGAGACAGTGACAAGTCAGCCTATATATGGGAGGTTGAGCAGCTGGTCCTATGGTGTAGTCGCAACAGCCTAGCTGAACACACTGAAAACAGTGGACTCAGGAAGAGCCCCCTCACCTTACCCCCACTCACCATACTTGGCAGCACTGTATCAGCAGTAAAGTCCTACAAGTTCCTGGGCTCCACTATCTCCCAGGACCTGAAGTGAACGTCCGACATCAGCGCCATCATCAAAAAGGCACAGCAGAGGATGTACTTCCTGTGCCAGCTCAGGAACTACGACCTGCCCCAGGAGCTGCTGATACAGTTCTACAGAGGAATCATCGAGTCTGTTCTCTGCACCTCCATCACTGTCTGGTTTGGCTCAGCAACCAAACAGGACAAGTACAGACTTCAGCGGACAGTCAGGACTGCAGAAAAGATCAGTGCTGGACACAATCTGTTTGAACTCCTCCCCTCTGGACAGCATTACAGGTCACTGTGTGCCAAGACAACCAGGCACAACGACAGTTTCTTCCCCTGAGCCGTCACACTTAACCCAGGACAGTATGACTGAACAATAACCCTCAGTGCAATACCTGTAAATATACATTGTACAGATTATACAGATCTGTACAGGTCTCTATTTTTAAGTACTCCATTTTTATTATATTTTATCTCACTTCCTAATGAACATTTCTTTGTCTGTTTGCATTGATTATTACCTGTTTATATTGTTTATTTTGCATTCTTTGCATTGTGTATTGCTTGTTTACACTGTTTATTTTGTAATACTACACAGCTTTATGTTGGTATATTGTTTACTTTCCCCCTGCTGTTGCCTTGCATGGGGATATGTACATACACATTGAGAGCCGCTGTACCAGAGTCAAATTCCTTGTGTCCAACACACCTGTCAAATAGAGCTGATTCTGATTCTATAACATCTAGAAGTTTGGGCTTGGATGAATGAGGCTCATGATTTCTTCTGACCACATGGACATTTTTCATTTTTTGAATTTTGTCAGAATCACATGGCCACTTGTTTTAACATCATGATATTTTTAATTAATATTATCTTGTAATGTCACTTTCGGCTTTTTCCCGTTAGGCGCCACAGCGAATCGTCACACTGGCGATTTGCATGTTGACATTTGGCACATGTTTTTACACTGGATGCCCTTCCTGACGCTGCCTTGACTCAAACCCAGGGCGCAGCACTTGTGCCGCTGCGGCCTGGGTAACCACTAGTCTTACTTAATATTATCTTACTTAATATTATCTATGTTCATATAATTTATATAACTACATCTATGTTCACATAGGTGATCCATTTATTAAAATTGCATGTTTGGGGGTGTTTTAGAGCTTGTTACATCCCGTCAGGATAAAAACTCACAGTCGACTTCAAATATAGCAAAGGGTCTCACAGGTTATCAAATCAATTCAAATTTTATTTGTATAGCACCAAATCACAACAAAAGTAATCTCAGGACACTTTACAAAGTAAGGTCTAGACCTTGCTGTTATCACTATTATTACAGAGGGAAAACCCAACAAATCCCCCTTGAGCAAGCACTTGGTGACAGTGGGGAGGAAAAACTCCCTTTAAC